TACTTGGAGGTTCACATGCATTCCCAGCCAATAGGACTGACAACGGAGAACGCCTACTCCAACTTTGTGTTGAACACGAACTGTTTCTATCAAGCACGAACTTCTTGCTCAAAAAACGCCACCGTCTTACATGGTAACCACCAACCGCTTCACAGCGCTGGACTCAAATGGACCACATTGCCATCAGCCACTACTGGCGAGGATCCATTGAAGACTGCCGCTCTTACTGGTCAACAACCGTGGACACAGACCATGCTCTGCTACGAGCGAGATTCTCTCTACGCCTAGTAAATAAACGCAGAAAAGCCACCAAATGGTTGCAAATCGGCCTTCAAAGTGGAACTATCAGATCTTCTCTCAGCACAACCATCAGCCGGAGGACTCAGTGAGCACTTGACAGCAATCAAGGAAGCGATTCAAATGTGAATCGAAACAACAGCAAATTCTGACTCACGATCAAATAAAAAACGATGGATCTCCACGTCTTCGGTTGTCCTGCTGGACGCTCGCAAAGCCATTCCTTCGGATTCAAACTACGACAATCGCGCAATTCCCTTAAACACCAGCTTATCAAGAGTTTGAGGAATGACCGCGATAAGTGGTGGGTAGGAAAGTGTAGAGCGATGGAAAAGGCTGCAGCTATTGGTAGTAGTCGCAATCTTTTCCGATTAATTAGGAGTACTGGCGTAAGTGAGGTAATTAAGCAGTCCGACGGCACACTGATCCGTATTCAGCAACGNGGCAGAACATTTTAAGGCTCAGTTCATCTGGCCCTTGTCAGCACAAGACCTTCCTACACCCGATTCAACCGTGCAAATACTGCCAGTTGACATCAGTCCTCGATCTGAAATAGAGGTTACCCGAGAAATAAGCTATCTGAAAAGGTATAAGGCTTCCGGCCTTGATGGGCTGTCCCCATCGGTTTTTAAGGATGGAGGTTCTTTCTTGGTTTTGGAGTTAACAAAACTCCTGAGTTCGTTGTGGGAAAAGAAACAGGTTCCAACTAGACGGTGTGAATCGGTAATCATACCAATTTATAAGGAAGGTGANACCACGGAAGAATTAGTTTAATTAACATTGCCTCTAAACTTCTCGCCGGGGTCATACTCCGTCAATTGTGTGCCACTCGTGAAGGGTGCACACGTGAGAACCAAGCTGGTTTTAGACCTAGTCGAGGTTGTATCGACGACATCTTTACTCTTCGTCAAATCCTAGAACACAGACACTCTTCGTAGACTCACCATTTCCATCTTCCTCGACCTGAAAGCGGCTTCCGACTCAGTCGACAGCTCTAAACTCTGGCGCTGCCTTTCCTTGAAGGTTGTGCCTGAAAAGTTTATTTCAATATTACAATCCCTCTATAGTAATAACCGAAGCCGAGTCCGAGCTTACGGCACTTTTTCATCGGAGTTCACCACAAAAAGTGGTGTCCGACGGGGTTGCCCTCTCTCTCCATTTCTATTTAACTTTGTTAGATTTAATTCTTAAAACAGTCCTATCCTCGTGCGAGGAAAGCGGTATTGATTTACTTCCAGGTGGCAGACTGTCTGATCTAGAGTATGCAGACGACATTGTGCTACTAAGTGAAGATGCAAGTAAGTTGTAAGTTTTTTTGGACAGCTTAAATGCCAGTGTAACCATGTTCGGTATGCGTTTTGCACCTTCAAAATGTAAAATTTCACTACAAGATTGGGTTGGCCCAGCCTCACCCTGACCGGGGAAGTTGTAGAGAAAGTAGACAAGTTTTGCTACCTGGGCAGCTATATCTCACCTGGCGGACGC